ACCACCCAAGTATTATGTACCTATGACAAGCTCATTTACATGAATTATGATCAGCATGCTTTTATCGTAAATCGACAACGAATACATTCAAGAGAAATTTCTCAAATCTTGCTTGCTTGTGTAGGTTCTGAACAAAAGCATTGACCTGTGAATCACTATAACTATTTAAGTTTTCCTCATCCAGCACCACCGAAAAGTAAGAACATCGACAAAAATAATCACGCAAAATTTTTTAATAAAAATTAGGTCCTTTCAGAAAAAAGGATCCAATATTGTCAATCACCAGCACTTTTATTTAATTACCAAATACTAATAAAACTCTTTGCTGCCAGATGCAGTTGAGACAAACGTTTTAAACAGATGTAAATGACTGTCCATTTGGCAGTACATTTTCTCCCTCACCACCTGAGAGTAACAAAATAAATTTTCAACACGCTATCCATGTCACTCAAACTGAAGCTTATACAACACGAAAATAATTCATCCCAGTTGAAAGAAACATGGTTCTGTGCTAAAACAAAGTTCTGAGTACTTAATTAGATTACACTGTATAACCATACACCAAGAACTTAAAAAGAAATTCATCCATTCAAAATTTAAAATCATACAATCCAACAACACCCACAACTGTGCACTGCATTTTATAAGCGTGAAAAAATGTCCTGGGCAATTCTTTCCCTCTAAAATAGTGACGTCTGATTACAGAATACTAAATATATAACTTTCAACCGATTTGAAGAGACCCAAAACTGTTAATACCGGTACAGTAAGGACAAAAACATTTAAAACGACTGATCCTCCCTGGCAAAGTCTGAAAGATAACAAAAAGTCATCTGTGCTAATGATTATCGATGTCTGCCCATGGAATATCACATTACAAAGATAGCCTTGTTCAAGCTGACTGAAAAAAATGCTTGTCATACCCACCTGGTTATGGTGAACTCTTGTATTACAAAAAGTAGGCTACTAGTATGTCATAATTTGCTCTGAAGTTCTCAATTTAGTGTAAAAGAAATTAAAGATGCTTTAAGTCCCTCAGTACAGTCAGAAAAACATTTAAATGTTCAATGTACATGTACTGTCTTTCATGATTGAGTTCTGCTATTGTTATGAGATCAGGACCATCGAAAAAGGCTAAAACTACTTAGCTTTAAAAGCCAAATACAATACTTTTGTTAACACAACTAATCTCTCAAAAATCAGAGCAGTTTCAATTATCTAAATCATGAATACACATGAAGTAACTGCTAGTATCTTCTTTCATTTTTCATATACGACAAAAAAATCTTACATGGCAGTCTTAAACAGTTACTATTCATATCTAAACATGTTATTAACTTTTTTCATTATAAAATAAATAACACATAAAATCAAATCTCTTACATAAAAGTCACCCACAGGAGACACAACAAAAACCCCTCACAAAACCTAAACAACGTTTTAAAAACATGAGAAGTCCCAGATCATCCAGTGCTAGTAGAATAAGAAGGTCGACAAACAGACCTAACTGAACCAGTAACAACTTCTTTCAGAAATTAGAAAAGAAAGATACCCGAATTTCAATGCAAACATTAATCTCGGAATAGAAAAGATTTGTCAGTTTTCTTATATTCCGAAATTTCAGGAAGGCTTTTTACAAGGTATATGTAAGACATGCTAACTACAAGTGTCTTGAAATTCTTTTTTCTTTTTCAGAAAGAAGTTTGAAAGGACGGAGGGAGAGAAACAACTTTTGAGACTGGAAACAACAAAATTTTTAAGACATCAAGTAAAAATGACAGGAACATTGCTAAGTAGAGTGGTAATGAAAGATTGGGTTATGAGGCAGACCACTTCAGGTCCTAAGAAAGGGATTCAACAGACTGTATCAGGTCAAGTGGAGAACCTGGACTTCCCTTGGGATTCCTTTTCCACAACGACAACCAAATAGAAAGGAAAACAGATACCCTACAGGCAGTGGCATGCAGTAAAGTTTGATAACTGGTACACTTCAAATGGAATTGGTCTTGACAACAGTGACATTATAATTATAGAAGGAGAAGAAGAAAGGTCCATGACAGAACAGGCATCTTTGGAGAAGAATTTTTGATGGCCTATGTGCTCTGTAGCAAGTAAAAAGTCAGAGAGAGACAGAGAGTGAAAAGCGGGGAGAAGCAGACAGACAGACTAGTTTTAGTTAAGTTTAAGTAAGAATATTGCCATACTTGCAACACAAATATGTTATTTTAGTGCTAGAGATTAGAGGTGTTACTTTTACTAGAGAGTAACATACGAAATAAAGAATGAGGATACAAGGACGATAGATGTTTGATAGGAAACAAGGAGCAAACCATACCAGAGCACGCGCCAACCACCCACACACAAACAGATAAATGGAGATGGACAGTAAAAGACAGTCATAATGAATAAATTTATCAGATATATATTATGCTGAGGGTGATAAGAACTTTATATATCTCCTTTCACCCTGTCAGACCCTCCTCACCAGTCTACAACAGACACCCTATCATGTCCAAAGTATAACAGAGTGATGCAAACTTTTCTCCATCCCCTCTGCTGGGGCCAGAAGTATGACTTTACCGAGGCCAGAGTTCAGACTTGTAACACACACCTTCAACTTGCGCGGTTACAAGGATGCCTTGCTCAATCATTCTCTTATGATACAAAGGGAGTGTGCAATAATGTTGCTTCACTCGGCCACTTTGGATATGTGATGTGAAGAGGAAACTTGGAAAGACTTGGAACAACAGAGATCTGATAAAGAGGGAACAGCAAAAAACTAACTCATCCGTTAATTGGTAATGCCGTAACTTCATGAAAAAAAGCTTTGAACACAATTCCTCCACAGCATCTGCTAGTTTAAACACCAAAAGCCATACAAAGTTTTGAAAAATTAGCAGTCTTAAAACTTCACTTGATACCTGTGAAGTGTCCTACTGAGCAGGAGGAGCATTGGTGTAGGGTCAGTAACACAATCAGGAAATAAGAATCGACAACATAAACAAAAACAACAACATCAACAACTTCAGCAACACAACAGCTATTTCTGGAAGACTTAGGGCCACCCGCTGACAGGGAGCGGAGAATGTGATCAGGTAAAAGCCTGGAGGGAAGCCATTCGGCAGATGAGAAGTTTTTGCTCAACTAGGAGATGAGAAGCATCTCACTTGGAACCTGGAACGTTAATTTTCACACTAGAAACATATATTATTCTAGTGAAAAAAATCAAACAGTTTATAGTCATAAAGTAGTGGTTCATGCAACTTCATATAAACAAAAATGGTCTTCACATGAGCTTAAATATATAAAAAAAGCACCCACAACACATTGCAGTATACAGAATCATTAATAGATCTCAAAGAACAAGACCAAGATTTACTGTCACTGGTTCTAAAAGAGAATGTGCATTGGTATTGGTGGAACTATGTGACAACACAATAACATAAAAGTATGGCTCCTTATGAACATTAGTCAAAAGAAATCAAATAAGCACAATGGAAGAAACCCCCACATTGTACAATATCCAAGTCTCCTATGTGGTAGGTTCACAGAGTAATTCTTTCTTAAGCATCAGGTACATATGGATTCAATTTCACACACCTGAAACAAATTGTGCTAATGGGACTTCTTTTTGTCAATTTCTTCTTCAATGATACATATCCATGAACAACATGAGAGAAACGCATTATCACTTCAATAAAACATAAATGAGACTGTGTCAAAGACATTGGCAAGCGCTTCATGATCATTTGATCGAGCATGGATGTGTTAATTTCAGACACTGAATTTGCAAATATCACAAGAATCAAAGAACAATAAAAACACACTAGAGTGCTGAACTTGAGTATCATAAAGAGACTAGCATGCTTCAAACAAGTTATTATGAACTAGACAAGCCCAGACAAACAATCTTTTGATGTCAGGACGACCTTGATATTTTATTTAAGATACAAAAATGAAACGACATTCTGATATTCCACATACTCAAACAAAGTCCAAAAGTAGTCCTGCTTTGCATCAAGTAAGAGGGATGCTGAAACCGAAAAATGGAGAGACATATTGAAAGGAACAATTGGATCTGGGCTTACTTCACCCACCAAAAAGGAAAAAACCATAAAATGGGATATCAATATCAGGATTATCTAAATTATTTCCTTTGAATATTTTTTCACGTAGGAGTGGTGTGTTTTGGAGTTGCTTTTTAGAAACTCATCAGTTACAAGCTATACAACTTGTCTCATTGCATCTAAGAATGAGAAAAAAGAACGTTTTGAATACTGCCTAACTCACTTACAAGCTCTAAAAGCAAGCCAGGAGCTTCTGGCCTAGTTAAGTAAAAAGTAAAAATCATCTAGAAGAAAAGGATTAAAAGACAAAGAAAAAAATGGGTACTTCAGTATTGTAAGCCCTACAGAATGCCAGTTTTCATTTTTATATCATAAACTGAAAAATCGACCATCAAAGCAATTCAAGTGGGCAGAAAAACTATAGAGCACCATGAAGCATACAGTTACAGCATTTGATATTGTTAAAAAAAAGCCTGAGAAAGTTTTGCCTGCCCCCTCAATCACACAGATGTGAGATGAGCTGAGATGAAATAATACATTAGAACTCAAGCGTGGTAAAGTCTTATGTTTAACAGCAAACCAAGTGAAGGTCTGCTCAATTGGGAAGAAAATAGAGAACTCAACAAATTTATTTTATCAAAAGATCAAACTGAAATCCTTCAGTTTGCTTTTAGCCATGCATAAATTACTTATGTCCCAAACTCCTTACTTCCTACCGCTGTACCGCTGGCAGCAGCTTGGGCACATTTCTTTACGACGACTTCAACGTCAAATTAGTTTTCGACGATTGCCAAAAACAGGTCTTTTTTATCAGGAGTTCATTCATTAGATGAAGTACTATCAAAGTAGGTTCACTTGTTTTGATTTAATTACCAGTATAGTGATATATATCACTTTTAGATTTCCTATCAAAAGAGGAGTTAACAGCACAAGACCTTTGAGGAAACACACACAGTGACTAACAAATAATTCCTAAATTCGAACCAGAAATACTATTTGTGAGCCGCGCTGACAAAATGAGTTACTTCTAGCAATAACCAAAATGGAGACATTGGCTAAAAATCGACACAAGTGTCAAATTTGTAGAATTTTTACTAATGTAATATTATTTAACTATAACATGCCTTTTATTTTTCCATACTAAGAAATTATAAAAACCTATAAGCGTGATAGGTCTATATCTTTTCCCATAAGTCTTGAATCTGAGAAGTAACTCATTTTGTCAGCACGCTTCACATTTAATACTCAACTAGCACTGCTGTTCTCTTTCCTTTTCCTATCACAAAACAAAACCCTGTCCTTTGACATAATCGATCCCTTGCTCCATCTGGTTTGGGTCGGTCATGAAGTAGGACATGGAGGGCACACGCTGTAGGTCTGACTTGCGCGGGCAGCAGCGCAGCCACTTCATGTAGACGACGATGGCTGTGATCACGACAAGCACGCAGACAAACAGCAAGAACTGCAGGTCTGGCAGATGAGCCATGCGCTGCCACGTGCTCAACGCCTGCGACTGCTGCAGGTCCTTCTGTCGTTCCACGTTCCTGTGAAGACAAATAGCAGATTGTTGAACTTGAACTCGGGTTATTCTCAGTCAAGACTTTTCAGTCTCTATTAACCCACTGAACTAAATTTTTAACTCAATACCTACACAGAAATGCAGAATACAGAGTTCTACTGTTCAGTTGTACATATTTTACAGCCTCATTGATAAAATATAGATCAATGACAAGAACGGATGTTTTTTTAGTAGAGGTTTTACGGCGCTCGCAACTGCATAAGGTCATATGAGCGTTCGAAGATTAGAGGTGTTACAAGAGAGTAACGAACATAAAAAAGAAGAAGGGGAGATAAGGACGATAGATGTTTGATAGGAAAGAAGAAGCAAACCACACCAGAGCACCCGCCAACCACCCACCGAACGGATGTTTCGGCCTAACAGTGAGTGACTAGGATACAGCATCCCAGCAGAAAGATGGAGATAAACCATCAGTGCAAAGCGAATATATATGCATGTCAATGGCCCTCAAAAACATTTTTTTTTTTCAAATCTGACAAATAAATACTGAAAAAGACTTGCAAATGGTAAACAGAATAATTATGAATTGAAGCAGTGTGCAACAAATCTCCTGTTTACATAAATAATAGTCTCCAAGATTATTAAATCATGAACAATACTCACCAGATCTTCACAATATTTAACATGAACCGCGTCTATATTAGCGGTTTAAAATCAAATTCATGAAATTTACAACACTTTTTAAAAACTTTCCCTTTTTTCTATGTAAAAAGAGGGCATTTGCTTCATGACACATTGCTGTTTCATTTAAAGTTCTGTAAGTTACCATTCAAAAACTAATCTTGTGGGATTTAGAGGATCACAGCTTAAACACAGGAATTTAAAATGTAAAAATGACATGGGGAAGGGATAGAATAGCTCTTCAGGTCTCAAGAAAAGACAAACTCTATAATGGATGAAATGAGAAAACATTAATTACTAATTAACATTGCCATTGGATCAGTTTGTTGACAAATATTGGACACACTGAAAAACTGCCTGAGGAAATATTCAAGTACTCTGGCTTGTACTTGTACTCATATGTATTTAGCCCTTGTGATTTTTTTACCTGAGAGGAAGGTATCTGGTTTTGTAAATGAGAGCTCCGAGTGTCCAACCAACATCTCTCCCATTGACCAGCTGGGCAGAGGTCAGTTTGTTGTAACTGGATGGGAATGAGAAGCCTTTGTGCAGCATCTCGACCATCCAGGCAGACTTGAAACATTGAAATCTGAGCAAAGACAAGGAGGAAAATTTACCATACACTGCCTCTCCCTCTCCCTCATATGGGAAATGTGGGCGACAAAAACAGTTAACTCAAACCAGCAAGCTTGATCCCTAAAAGAAATGTCATGTTTGGTACGCTGAAAGCGAGACAGTGTGGAAATTTGTTAATTTTAAAGCATTAATCTTTAAAAAGACAAAAAATTTCGAATGAAACCCCTTTAGTAACTGTATCCTCCATCAAACCATTTGTTTCTTTTAACAATACTGAACAACAGTGCCTAGTAGTGGAACAAAATTACTCCCCTCTTCAACCCCTTGTTTCTAGCCTCACAATAAGCAAAACTATAAAGCCAGCTAGTTCACTACAATCTTGCATTTCCATTAAAAGAAGGCTAATTTGAGTTTAATAGCTCTTACAGTAGCTGATTAGTCCATTTCATTTGCTGACCCAACATGGCAAATGATGATGCAAGTTACAGTATGGAAAACTCAAGTAGAGCTATTACTGAGAGTCAAGTACCCAATTACATGAGATGCGAACTGAAGAAGTTTCTGAAACTTGGCTGAAGTCACTATCCCTAAACTAGTGTTGTATCCAGCAATGCTATAAATCCAACTCCCAATCTTTTGACAGCAAAACAGAAGAAAGTTTCAACCACTAGCACGGGAAGCTCATAGCGTCTGAGCACAAGTAACTTTAGGGGTAGTGGGGGTATTTCAGTTGGGTCCTTTGTCCTTATCGACTTAGTTTGGGTCCTTTAATTAAGAGACATGACTTTAGAATGAACAATCATCTCAGACATCTCTGATAGAAAACAGCAAAGTATGTTATAAAACATCAAATGACCTGGATTTGAACAAGCGTTCCCAGGAATGTATCTTAGCATCTTACACAAAACCTAGACTAACAGTGAAAAAAAGAAGTAGGAGTTATCTTAAACTCTTGTATGTTTATTGATTATGAAGTGAAAGTGAGGAGATTAATCAATAAATAATGCTTGTATCTTTTTATGCGCGTGTGTGTGTGCGTGTGTGTGTGCGCGTGTGAGTGTTTGAGTCAGTGTGTGGGTGTGTGTGGGTGGGGAGGGGGGGCATTAATGACTTTCTCAACCACTAACTTCTTCTCCAAAAAGCACACAGGAACATGTTCACACTTGTATGGCAGCCATAAATGTCTTTTAAAAAACCCACAAACTGTAGCTACCAACCTGAACCTGTGGTCATCAGCCTTGGGGTAATTATCCTTTTTGTACCACGTCTCCAAAGTGTCCCAGTTGGTGCCACAAAATTCCTGTGACAAAAACATGTTGAAAAGAATAAACATTTGTTTTTGTTGGGAGTTCACTGCGCAGCGGGGACACAATGGGTAGTTTCAAGGCACAGAGCATTTTTATTTTTAAAGATGTGGACAGTAAACCCTGTTGAAACAGGACACAACAAAATAACAGTAATCTCTATTCTTTTTTGTGTTCCCCTACAAGATCTCAGGGTAGCTGATGACTGATTATTCAGCTTGCAGTGCGACTGAAGTTTACATACGTGACTGTTTTTCCTACTTCGTGGAGCCTCTTGCCTTAAGGTACCCACATTTCAAATTCGAAGGTACTCTGTATACTTTTATACCGACTAACGGACTTGAATACTGTCAGTTTTTTAAGAAATTAGTTTTGAATTTTGCCCGGGTGGCAGCCGAAGCCTACTCTTATCGATTTTATGACCACTAAGTCAACAGATCTTTAACTCCTTATCTCTAGCAAGCCGCTCCCAGCAGCAAGCGGTCCAAATCGCTTTGCTGTTGAGCCGCTGGCAACGGATGGGGCACATCTGTTTACAGCATAGATGACAGCTTAGTTTTCGGCAAATTGCTGAAAACAGGATTCTTTACCAGGGGTTCTTTCACAAGATGAAGAACTATCAAAATAGGTTCACTTATTTTGATCTAGCGACCATTTTAGTGACGTATTTGTCACTTTAAGGTTTCATACCAAAAGAGGGCTCTAGCATAGTAAGAAAACCCCCTCCGGAGATAAAGAGTTAAAGTGCACAACTTGCACATGAGACCCCCCAAGATCTTTTGCCCGTATCTGAAAAGGCTTTGAGTTTTGTTTTGTTTGTTTAAGTAAAGTGTTTAACGGCGCTCGCAACTGCATAAGGTCAAATGAGCGCGCGGGACACACCTAATATTTTCAGTTTCTTTACAATTTGTGTTTCAAGGTACACCACGAGTCCGCCAAAGTCACATGAAACCTCTGACTGACTGAGCAGTACAAGAGCTTGCTATGGCTGCAGATGTTTTACGCGCTATTTGACACAGGGGATGCGCCCCCACCAAAAAAACAAAACAAAACAAAAACAAAAACAAAACCAAAACCAAAACCTAACAAACACATTAATCTAAAAAAATAACAACCCTGATTTCTTGAAAGTAGTTCCTATGTATGTTAATGTTAAAGTGCCGAAGGCCTAACTGTAGAACGCGTGACTGTGATAGGCCTTCAGGCGTCAGGTAGAACGTGGTCAGTCAGGCATCGTGGTAGACCGTCAGGTAGACCGACCCCTCATCGTTATTGTTATCGGCACTACATATTACCAATCTTAATAACTTGACAAACACGCATACATTCCCATAATCAAAGTACACGTAATTCTCTGCAATTAATATGCATTTGTTATATGGTTATATGGTCGCTTATATTCTATGATTCGGTCAACTATTTCGAGGCATTCCTAAGCAAATCATATTGTTTGTTGTACTAATGTGTCCGATTAAATGCTTTTTACTGCGGCTTATAATAATATCTGTAAGTCAGTAGCTTAGCTCCCCAGCGTAAGTGTTGCAATTATGATAATTTCTTTAAAGAGGGGGGAAATAGAGAGAGAAGTATGTGTGAGAGGGAGAGGAAAGGGGAGGGGGGGTAGAAAGAGAGAGAGAGTAGGAGAGAGAGAGAGAGAGAGGGGG